CTCCTCAAACATTGCAACATAGTTATATAGGATATACACTGAAGCGTACCCCCACTCAGGGTTACTACCAAAAATAAGAAAGGCAAAACTAAAAAGTGGCAAGATCTTCAAACCTGCCTGGTTACTTAATAGTTAGGGTACTCAAAAATGAAACTGGGGAAACAATCAAAGGCCCAACCAAACAAACAGCAACAACCACACATTAACTCAAACAAAATCAATACAAAGCAAACAACGGCCACTAGATACAGGCAAATACTTACACATTTACCTCACCTCATGGACATTTCATCTCGGACGAGCCCCCATTTGTTAGTGGAGACTCTTCCGGGATAACAATAAAACAAATTAAAATATTAAAATAAAATAAAAATACTGCAAGAATCAACTGAGTAGAATAGATTAGAACATTTTTGCAGATCATGTTGCAAGACCAATGTGCAAGTAATTAATTGGGTATTCCAAGGACCAAACCCTCAGTCTGTGCAAAAATACCCACTTAAACCATCATCATTCTTAAACTAGTTCAAGCTTATTCTCTGGAAACACAATTATTGTTCTCATTTGAGTACCGCCAAGGATGTCTGAGGCTTTCATGTTCACCACAGCTTAATTGGTTTTCACTTGAAAATTCTTCCCTGGTATGCAGTTATCTGATGTACCATAGAAAACAAACATCCTCTGCCATTCCCTTTCTCTCTTTTTGTCACCTCCAACCCTTTCTACAATCACACATTTTATTTCTGGATATACAGGCGTTATCATTCACATATCTTGCATCCACCATATGACTGCAGAGGTACAAAACAGTAATTTAATTGAGGGGTCAAGGTGATTATTAAGCTGTACACAGCCATGTCTGACAGAAAGGCAAGTTCAGTGAACCCCACTTCATATTAGATGAAGGCGGTGATGTACAATCGCAGAGATTAAAGTGAGCATGGCACACTCTGCTGTGGAACACACAATAACCAGGATGCAAGTTGGGCTTTGTCATATTGAGAGTTTTAACACTGTGATTAATGGAGTACTGGTAGATACAGACATATTCACCGATCTGTCCATCATGAGTTACTTTGCTAATTGCATTTCATTTAGATGTTACCTACACTCATTATTTCCCAGATTGCACAGTATGTCCCAAATTTGAATCGTTTTGTAAATAAGGGTCAGTAAAAGGAACAGATGCAAAAAAAGTCAAGTCACATAATCCCTCAAAGAGCATAATAACTGCTTTGTATTAAAACGTGCAGCTTCTAAGACGCAACACGTGTGTGAATAGTCTCCAATCTTTGCGGAGCCCTGCTACACAATCTTCTGTCTGCTTCTACAAAGAACACTGTGCGTTCGGAATAATTTGATTCACTTATGGGAGTAAGATTCTATATAACATTTGCTGATTTTGAGTATCCAATGTGTTCTCAAGAAAATGAGCTTTGCACTACATACACACGGCCTGAATTGATATGCATGATTCAATGTAAGGCCATTTTTGCCAAAGATGAAAATGTTCTTCCTAAAACCGATGCCTATCACTTGCCCAGTGCTGCTCTTAGTTCCTAAAAGTATCAGAGCACATCAGGCCTTATTACTTTTCCTATAACTATAACACCTCCATTATCATGCTGATGCATGAGGTACACATAAAACAATGTAGGAAAATGATTTAGCAAAGAGACCCATCATGTAAAATAGAAGCTCTGCTGAATGTCATTTATATCCTCAGGGACTGAGCCATATCTCGCTTCTTCTGGGTTTAATTCGACTCCTGTTCTTTTTCGAGAGAATATAAACTTTGGCCTCTATCTCCGTCCGGAAGCTAAGAGCCATGGCAAATGAGCTTTCCGAGTGCTGCTTTTGAGGTCACTTCTGTTTGCGCGCAATTGGATGTCTCGCTAGCCTGTTTCCTGATAAGAAAGGCTTTTCGGTTTGCACCTCATCCGCTGACCTCGCAGTGTACGAATGTGGCAGGCATACATTGACAAGCACAGATTGAAAACAGCTGGACCACACTGCCATGCTGCAATCTGCAGAATGGGACTAAATTATAGCGCTAATCTTGTTGACAGTCATGTTGCTGCCAGTCCATACTTTCTCTGTCGCTCTGGTTTTTGTGTTTGTTTACTTGGTGTTTCCTGTATGGAATTATCTGCAATTGTACTTTCCTCTCTTTTTTTTGGGCGGGTAAATATGAGTATTTGCTGAGGAGAATCTATTGTGAAAATGTTATAACTTTACTGGGCTTTCAAATTATAACCAACATGTTGTAAAAGGGTCAGGCTAAATTGTGTAGTAATAGGAAAACCGTCACTGTTATAAAAAGTCTGGTAAGTCCAATGATGCTTCCAAACTCTATGATAACAATAGCAGACCGCTGGCACATTCCAAAAAGAGCAATTGTTTTATTTATATAAAATATACATTTATTAGTTACAGAATTAACAATAATCACTTAAAATCTCTAAGAATTGGGACGGTACTGCTACTGGTATTTTTAAGAATGAATACTGATGACTCTTTGTCAAGTTGTAGGTCACTGGCTGAATGAGGATACAATGTCAGAATGTAAGGCTGACACGTGCACTAACCTGTTTGTTGTTTGCTGTTTGTCTGTGACATGTTTGACATTTTATTTCCAGGAGTGGGTTTACATAGGCTTACTTGAGCTGAATATGTTGCCTTGGGTGAAATAGAATGACATTGTAACTGTCACGTACTGCGTTTGTGTGTACGTTTGTGCACGTGTCTCGGAGATTGTGTGCCCCCTCTTAGTTTATCACAAACAATTAATGACACTGGCAATGATACGTGAATCAGTTTAGAGGTTATTTCCATTTTTTAGACCATTATCTCTTTCCCATGCTCCTTTTGCCAATTCCCATGAACATTAAAAGGGCCTTATTATGCTCTCTTATAGGTTCATATTTGTATTTTTTGTCTGTACTGTGATATGTTTACATGCTTTAATGTTCAAAAAGTGCTTCATCTTGGTCATGCTGCCTGAATACATACTAACTCAATGCCAACATTTAAGGTGAAAACTGTGGCCACCAAAGGCTGGTGAAACCTTTCAAACTGACACAATGAGCTATAGACCTGCCTGTCGTAGCTAAACATGTATTGCTTTCAAAGATATGAGAGGGATCTAGTGCTCCTATCAGCATCATCGCAATTTACGACTGCTTCTGAGAGAGGGACGTCATTTCTTACCTCGCAACAACTCCTCCTTGTCAGAAAAACTTTCATTAAAACCTTTGAACAAGCAACCAATGTTGTAGTTTCTCATTTGGGAATAGTCTTAACCTTGAGGTTGAAGCATCAATGAGGCCATGAAATGACAGCTGACAGAGGCTCAGAAAAAGATCCTTGTCGATTCAGACAGCCACAAGAGAACAGTATAAGTCATGGTAAAATCTGATGAGTTCAAGTAAATAGGGATAATGTAAATATGTTGGAGGCAATGATGCACTGATCTTTGCAAATCCATGCTAACTGGGGTATTGGAAGGACGCCGGTTGACGATGCAGTAATTGGCAGTGACCATTGAAGATTGGGCAACGAGTGAACAGTATGTCTTCCACAGAGTCTGATCCGCTGGAAGTAACATATTGTGAATCTTGAACAACTTTCTTTGTCCACTATGTGGCGAAAGAGAACATGCTTACATTATGTAGATGTACTGTATCAAGTCTAGACTTCACAATGTACAGTTTTTGTATATCGTTGGATGTTTGTCACATAAGGGAAAGTCCTCAGGCTTTAACCTTTATCCATGCATGTGAGATTTGGGGCCATTTGGACCATTAGAGTAACACCAGCTTCCTGTTTATGTTGAAATGTGCAACATCTTCCTTCTACCTTGAGCCCGGATGTACATCTGCTATGCCCCAGAGGAGAAAGAAAAGAGACAGAAAGTGCAGATGATCTAGAGACACTTGCATACGTGTTAAAAGCCTTTCAGGCAGGTACCTGCCTAAACTGATTTAAATGATCCTTCCCTACCTACTCCTCTCCGCCCTGCAACCTGTAATTTCAAATAATGTGTTTATTTTCCCCTTGAAGATTTTTTGGTTATGGATCAGTGGTTGCAGAATGCTGCTATTGTTTACAGTTTAATGTGAGTGCATGGAAAGGTAACCTGAATCCCAACACAGACATAACACTATCCCTGGTGTAGAACACACTGAGTGTAACTGCCATAATCAGTAAGGAGCTGTTCTCTCCCTCACTGGTTTGTGTAGATGCAGGTAACCCCGGACAACCTGACAATGTACACACATTAGAGGCAGGGAGGAGAGGGGTATGATTAATGGTTCTCAATAAGGACAGGCCCCAGAGGAGAGAGGACTGGAGCAGCAGTGCTTATAAATCCCAGGGATTCTCTGAGGCGTAGAGGGGGTGGAGGTATAGGTTGATTTAGAATCTGGAGTAAGTGATGGGGGTGAAGCAGAAGAGCACATGCAGGACTCCAATTTGGTGGTATTTCACAAATTCCTCACTGAGAGAAAACTTCTATTTTGCAGGCTAAAGCATCTCCATACGGTTACAAAAAAAACCTTTTCTACTCTGTAAGCTGCAGTGTTGCTAATTTGTCCCATGAGATTGAGATTCTTTGAAATCATCTACAGTGACAAGTGAGAGCAGCCTCCCTATCTATTACAGAGAAGTCACACATCCTCCACTCGCTAACTTTCCTTTGTAAAGCCTTTTTCTCATCTCGGAAATTGGCAGTTTCTGTAGTCTAAACGGAGGGGATCTCTTTTGATTTATGGTTAATAATATGTTTAGATTCCTCGTTTGAAGTCCAGTTAAAAAATATCCTGAATAAACGTGGGTGAATGGCGCTGTAGATGCCATACAGGGAGTGATTGGACACGTCCAAACACTGTAAATTGATGTGGTCTTGCAGTTAGGGAACCCCCGCTCTTGTGATGTGGACCGTTCCTCCGCTCCTCCACATCCAGGCGAGGTGAGCACAGCGCCAGACGGACCAGAGCGGGTTGTGTGTGGATAAGCAGCAGCGGAGCGCACGGCTGAGGACTCTTTAGCGCAACTCCAAACACAAATGGATATTTACGTGGCTTTGTTTTTTCTTTTCTTTTTTACCAAACCAGGTAAAGAACACGCTGCTTGTGGCACTCTGTGATCACAATGAGGATTTCTGGTGCGACTGATAAGCGCTTCTTATGGTCTTTTCTCAGTTTGCACCTTGCGCTCGAGTATGTCAGGTGTTTATGGTAGTGTCTCTGAACTGTATTGCTTTTATGTATTTATTATGTTAACTTCAGATTCAAAAAATCAAATAAAATCAGGGAGCGTTTATGTTAAAAATAGATAGGACTTTTTACCTTAACGTGGGCGCACCGTGTCCGTGGGGAGAACAGGTGTTCGCTGCGGGCAAATACGGTGCATGTTAGTGCGCACTATAGGCAATATGCGTGTACATAAAACAGCGTGACTTTCCCCCAGAACTCCATTTTAAACAGTGCAATGCACATACGCAGTGAAATAACTGTGGAGTTTAGTTTAAACCCTGACTGATAATCTTTCAGCTCGCCTAACCTTCATCTCTCTCCCACAGCTTTGGCGTTTGAATCAGATCAAGACTACCAGATTGATATCATCAACGAACTTGACCTGGCAAATGCCACCTATGGAATTACCCAAGTGGCAGGGCTTCACAACAGCAGCAAAGCCTTTCTCTTCCGAGGTAACTCACGCACACACGCACGCTGACAATTTCTTCCTCATTAGTCGCGCTGCTCAAGTTCCGAAATGTCTTTGTCTTCTGTGCCATGGCTGTGAACACACGCACACGCACGCCCTTTGTTTCATTAGTTAGTGTGAGCAAATCCATGCAGCGCCACACCTTTTAGTGTCACAGTATTAGCTGAGACACAACACTCAGGGGAGCCTCCTCATAATTACTCCACATTGAATCTGTCCCAAGCAGCATATGCTCGGGCTCTTCCTGGACACACTGGAGTGCTCTTGTCTGTGTTGGATTACTACAGCATCTTCAATGGCATCCAGTGTAATCCCAACAACTGGTGGTCAAAGGGGCTATCATGTGAAAGGACCCTGAAGGGCACAGTTTAGATTTTAATTTCAAAGCAGGCATCATGATTGGAAGAAAAGCGTGGCAGAATATTAACTCTATTGATAATAAGATGTGTTACCAGTGTTAGAAGGTCATTTGTTTGCTTCTCAGCACTCTATAAAGGACTACAACATATTTGTTGGTACTTCTTTGGTATGTCTGCAGTGCCCTAAAAGAGGATACATGTCAAGAAAGTGATTACAGAGTGAGAGACAGAGGGGAAGAGATCCCGATGACTGCTCAAGAGAAAGACTGTTCTGTTTTGGTCCTGCTTGGCTGCACTTCCCGACAAACTGCCAGGAACATCAGCAGTGAAAATGTTATCATCATATTTGAAACTTTCTGTAATTAATGTAGGTTGGCTCAGTTTTCGGAGGCAGTATGATTTAGATTCACATTACACCATTAAATTGTCTCAGCTTGCTTTCCCTACCTGTATGTTATGTTGGTGAGAAACACTGAGTCTCTTTGTACTTTTTTGGCATGAATATATTCAAATTCAAAGATACTGCTACCAACTCCAGCAGCCTGAATCCCAAATAAACTGCACTGGGTGTTGAATATCGGCAGAATGCTATTGTGTCGGTTTGTGTGTGTGTGTGTGTGTGTGTGTGTGTGTGTGTGTGTGTGTGTGTGTGTGTGTGTGTGTGTGTGTGTGTGTGTGTGTGTGTGTGTGTGTGTGTTTTTATTTTCTAGAGTGTTTGGCTCCATGTGCCACTGGCTCTGTATGAATGAACGCAGGGCAGCTTGGCCAACTCTGCCGAGGTGAAGCTGGCCAAGATTCAATAATGAAGGCACTAAGGGATTCACAAACTCACTTTTTACTTGGTACACACACCCACACACACACTCATAGCTGCTCTCCCTACCCTGTTTTTCTTGAGGTGCTGCAGGCAGATAGTGTGGGAAACAGGAGATTAATCCAGTAGGAAAAATGGACCTGTGAGTGTTGGACAGGATGCTACTGTTGTGAGTGACCTATTTAACACTTCGCCCACACTTGTGCTGCTTTCATGGCCCGTTGACCCAGATGGATCCACAGCACAACCACAGCCAAAGTAACCCCAACTACCAAGTCCCTTTTGAAAAAGTTTGAGGGAAGTTTATCTTGTAAAAGGCTTGTAACAGACAGGTCATGATTACCGAGTGGAAGCTGTGCTGGAGCCCCTGTGGCTGATTGGGTCAGTGATTATTCAATATGATTTATGTACGCTTTATCCAATCATGTTGTGCCCTGAGCTCAATATATCATATTTCATCAGTGTGATTGCATAAATTGCTGTGGAACATATTGTAGAGCTGGTCCAATGGCTTGGAAAAAAGGGGCAATGTGGTGGTCCAATTAGTGTCAATAGCACTGAGAGAAAGAGAAAGAGAAAGAGAGGGCTCTGGCAGTGTCTTTGGCTGGACACTGGGACCAGTCTTTGCAGTCGCCCAGTTAGCCAGTCTTTCACAAACAACAGATGGTTTTCTTTAGGGAATAGATTTTCACCAGAATAATACACCATGCACTAATTGAAAGCCAGATCAGGGAAAGCGGACGTGTGGAGTTGCTGATAAAAGGTAATTGGGTAGATGTGTGTTATAGAGTTTAATATATTTTGTATAGTTTTTACAAGATTGGTTTACATTGCAGGCATTTCTGTGATAAATACAGTTCAGTTTTTCAAGAAGGGCACTGACCTACTTATTACATCCTACATTGAAACCCAGATTGTCAACCTCGTCTCTCTGTCCCAATGTCGGGACCATAATGGTGAACATGATAATCACGATTATTTTAAAATTGATATTTAGAAAGCAATTGTTTATCACAAATATTCATTGCTTTTATGGATGAAATATTTTCTGTATTTTCGTTTTGCTCTTCTACTGTTGTATATGACCCTTTTACCATGGACTAGAGCCAAAACATACTGTAAAGGATAATCCATGAGCAGAGCACACATTTTAAGCATAAATATGTCAGTCAACCATATTAATTTAATAACGGTAAGCAGAACGTGTGTTTGAGACTAGTTATATATTAATCGTGCAGCCCGACCCAATGTTAAATGATCTTCAATGCTATCCAATTGTATTTTGGTATCAAACTGTGGGTACATATTGGATCTGTTGACCTGTCAGTTTTTTCCAAAGTGAAACAGTTCTTATATAAACAGATGCAAGCGCTCCAATTGTACAGTGCTAGAAAACTGCTCAGTTCTTAGAAATATGCCATTTTATATTATAACTGAACAGCTATCGGATGTTTTATTCATGACATTTGGTTCAGGGACATTCTTGGTTCCCAGATACGTTTTTTTTTTTTATGTTTAGCTGATAGTATTGAGCCTTAGAGTATATCTACTTGGCACCTGGTTCAGGACCTCAGTCAGGACTTGTCCACATTATATTTGGTCTAACTGGGTCAGGAGGGGCTTCATTTTTATTGCTTATGGCTCCGTTTGTCCGTATGTCTAATACTTGTAGTGGATCCAAGCAGGCTTGAAATCACCAAGGTGTCCTATTCATTACAGTAGAAAAAGGAAAAAAAGACCCTGAGTGTGAATTGTAGGTTTAAATGATAATTATTGCTTAGTAATTCAAATATTAAGTGTTTGGGCAGAACCTCATTTTAAATGGTATCTAATTAACCTCAGGTATGTTTGAACATAGTCTGGCTGTCCTTTGATTCCTGTCTCTTCAGGTATTTTATTTTCTGATGTGTCATGGGCATTACAGCTATTTAGGAGCACGATCATGTTATACAAACCTGTCGAGAGCAATTTAATAATCTGTTATTGTGCTGAAAGGTGTTTGATGACAGTCAGGTGTCCTTAATTGTGTTTGTAGGTTATAAAACAGGTAATACTTTATGGTGAGGGTACATGAATCATCATGAATTGATGCATGACTTAATGCATGAAAAAGCATGAATTCATTCATGTAGTACTCATGAACTATCAGTAATGTACAAGGATTAATGGTATCTCATGCATGACTTAATGCAGGAACAATACCTTAATTAATGCATCAACTAAGGTATCTCAATCATCATGACTTCTGAGTTATTAATGATGTTCATGTCTTCTTCATATAGATCTGCAGGCCAACAAACTGACCAGTCACAGCAATTCAAAGTGTTGTAATGATTAACAAAGCATTATTGTGTCATTGCTTCATCATGTTTGTGCCCCTTCAAATAAAGTGGTGACCTATGGCCTATGTGAAATCACCGTTATTAACCATTTGGTGCTCATGCATCAATCATCTTTGTGATCCCTCAAACAAAGTCAGCCCTTATGTCTATTTAGGCATCATGTATTTGGCAATATTACAAATTAGATCATAATTTTGGACTTAATTTATATTATCAATTATTTAGTCAGGACTTTTTTGTATGTATCTACTTATTTTAAAGCTCACAAACCATTTAAGATAACTCATTCATACTATTAACAAAGTTTGATGTATAATCCAAAGCCAACAAGATCACATTTTCACATATCATGTCACATAAGAAAGCAATACAAATGTTGGGCAAAGACACAAGATGGCAGTTGAATTATTTGTGATTTTAACTCGACCACAACAGATAAAATGCACTGAAATTACTTGCGTATAGATCTTCAGGGATTTATCTTTCAGAAAAAAACTCCTGACTCATATGTAATGATAATAGATGTGAGGCACGAACAGGGGCTATCTTGAAACGTCCATCTTCTTCATATCTGAAGTCAGTGAGCTCTTGGTGGTTCAGGGAAACATGTACTTCAGTAAATGACGAGAGGTCCTTTCTTATGCCTGTTTCCAAGGCAGTAAGTCCATTCTATAACTGCAAGATGTTCTTTCAAAAGTTTATCAGTTCGGTTTCCCCTAAGCTGCCAAATTATTGATTTGTAGTTAATCATGATTACAACACTTTGAATTCAACACAATACATGCACTGCTGTGACCAACAGACCAGGTCACCACTTTATTTGAAGGGGCACAAATATGAAGTAATTACAAAATAATGCTTAGTTAATCATGATTACAACACTTGGAATTGCTGTGACTGGTCAGTTTTTTGGCCTGACACTTTAACTGCAGATCTATATGAAGAAGACATGAACATCATTAATAACTCAGAAGTCATGATGATTGAGATACCTTAGTTGATGCATTAATTAAGGTATTTTTCCTGCATTAAGTCATGCATGAGATGCCATTAATACCTGTACATTACTGATAGTTCATGAAGTACTACATGAATGAATTCATGCTTTTTCATGCATTAAGTCATGCATGATTCATGTACCCTTGCCATAAAGTGTTACCATAAAACACAAGTTGGCAAAGTTTGGTTAGGCTAATTGTCACATGACAAAAGTCAAAATATAATGATTTCTTCAAGTAATAACTTCTTGAAAGATAAGTCCTGACAATTTTAAAGCAATTTAAAACAGCTTTTCAGAGTCAAACTAATTTAAGGGGATTAGAGCCACTTTCTCTGGTGTTAAATTCCAAAATTTGAACTAAAAAAAAAAAATAATAAAATCAGATCTCATAAAAATGTTACCATTTGGCCCTAATCCTTTTCCGTACAAACTGAACCAAATCTACTTCATTTTAAACGTTAATTCCATCCTGGTTATTTGAAATTCTACTGAACACATTTACTTTAAGAGGAACAACATGTAGGCAACCAAGCAACTGTAAAACCTGTCTTGTCAGTATATTCGACTCTCTTACTCAAAATCATTATGGTTAAACAGTTAACAGGTAACAACAAATGCAACCTTGATCCTGATATCCCTGAGATCTTTAAACACGCCTCTTATCAGGCTTTAAGGGCAATTATCCTTAAACTCGGCAGATTGGTTTTAGGACTGAAGTGGTCCTTAATTAGCGTTTAATCGACCTTCCTGTCGATTCTAACCAAAACGTTTTTTCTAACCTCATTTAAAGCTTAAATCCTCACTGAAACAGCTCACTACAGTCCAATAAATACCTATAGCTGATGCACATTGCATGTCTGAGTCCATAGTTTGTTATAATTGTGCAGGTGAAATCAGGATATGTTAATCAAACTACAATGGAAATTAATGGTAAAGAAAGATGCCAGCAATGTTAGACAGGACTCTTTTTTCCAGCTCAGACACTCTGTTATTTTTAACAACTTAAGGGAGTAATCTATTGTAGGACATGAAATGCTATGAAATAAATGACAATGATGCAGCACAGAGTTAAGTATCAGTTCATCTCTCTATCTCTCTAAAACAGAGGCATGGCTTATGATGTTCACTTTTGCGTTTAAGGTTTGTTCAAACTGCACCAAGCTCTTTCAGAATTTCTCTAAAACTCAGCATTAGAAAAGCAGCGAAAAAGTCTACAAATCCCAGAGAAAAAACAATTATGTTGAAAA